CTGAGGTTACAAGAATAATGAATAGATGCATGAGCGCCACTGTTTGCGACACCCAGCCATATCGCTCAGTGTCTCAGAGTAGGTTTTGTTTCTGATTATTGTACAATGTTACCCTAGAATCGTCATCGGTCCGGCGGATATGATCAGCATCCCTCCAATTCATTACTGTGTCGTGGAAAGCCCAATCGTGAGAAATGCATCAGGGGAACCAGTGTATGATGCCAGTGGCCAAGTCAAACTCCGACTGAATGACACTGAGTGCCGGTTTCAGCAGGAACCCTTTCCGCTGTATCCCGGTGAACGACTCAAGTTGGCTGTTAAAAAGCTCCCAGTGATTAAAAATAACGAGGCTTTGTGCCTACGGGCTTTGACAGATTTTGTTGACGACGACGGAGTACGGCACATAGCCGGTCAACGTTGGCTGGTTGAAGGTCCCGGTAAGTTTGTTTATGCCCTTCTAGTAGCATGTTACTTCTTTAACTCCTGATTTAATGAATACCTTAAATCCTTTGGGGCGATGAAACATATATGTTATAATAAGTAGTATATGAATGACCGGGCACAATTTCCCTGGGAGCACACGACTGGTTTCGCGGCCGTTTCAGTTTCAGTTTGTACAACCATTAACCACGCATATTCGTGCGCCGGTTTTGGTTGCTGTCTTTCGGCTGCCCATTTGGATGAAGAATAGGAGAAGAAAGGAAAGTTGAAAGTGGAGTCGAACAGAAAATGGAGAAGTTCAGTGGTCTAAGGTTGCAAAGAAATTAAGAAGATGAACGAACGCCACTGTTTGCAACACCCAGCCATATCACACATTGTCTCTAACCATCGGTTACGATCATCCCGAGGTCCCCAGCCAGAGAGCCTAACAGGACCTGTGTAACCCAGTCTCCTGGTTAGAGTTTTCATACCCTCGTGCCAGGTTTTATCTTGACCACCCTTGACTTTTTTCCATTCGGTACCTGCTTCGGCGAACATCGCTCGCCGTGGTAACCTATCTGATGACATGCATAGCACATGTCCCAACCAACGTAATCTATGGAGGTCGACCACTTGCTTCATTGGACGACCGCAGGTACCCAAAATTCTGCCCCTAACCTCAGCATTGCTCACCCGACTACCGCACCAGATTCGTGCAATGCTGCGTAGACAGCGGTGCTCAAACACCGACAGTCTATCTTTATCCTGTTTTCTTA